CTCTCTTATTGTACAGAGTCTTAGTAAAGTGAGGGGTTGGGTGTATTAAAAAGGGGTCGGGGTTAAAATTTAGAAAAGAAAAAGAAAAGGAAAAAAAAACCGAGCAAGATCTGCGGTCGCAGAGTTGAAATGCGGACCGCAGATTGGACCGCAGAATTGCCTCCAAAACTCTGAGGATTCTGTTTGGGTCTGCGATAGGAATGCGGTCCGCATTCATGTTCTGCGGTCGCATAGTGCACCGCAGAACTGACATTCACAAAATTCAAAGGAGAATATGCGACGACTATGCGGTCCGCATATTTGTTATGCGATCGCATAATAGACCGCATTTTCAACATTAATTTTGACAACTCTACTGTTCCACTCTGCGGTAGAAATGCGGTCCGCATATCAATTATGCGGTCGCATTTTGGACCGCATCTTGACCTCAAGTTTTAACCAAACCACTATTTCGTTATGCGGTGGTAATGCGGTCCGCATATTGGATCTGCGACCGCATTCTGGGCCGCATAATGGCATTTTTCTGGAAAATTGATTCTTTTGATTTCTACACATTCCTAACACGTGTTCGGAGCCGACACCACAAGATTCTGGTTTATGAGCCAAAAATTTTACGGGGCCTCACATCCTCCCCCACTTAAAATCATTTGTCCCCGAATGAGGACCTGTTTCAAGCTTTTCAGTATATTCAAAGATCATTTGGTTTTGAAAACATGTTATGCAGATTCCTACACCTTTCACTATTTCCCAAATTTTTAGAAAAATTTTGCCAGAGTTTCCTTTGTAATTAGAACATCTCCACCTGACAGAGGGCCCCCGAAACACAATTCTGAGCACCAATACACAATTTCAACTACCCTTACAGCTAGTATACAAATCCTTACCTTAACAAATGCACACATTTGATCACTCGATATGCTTTGCTTATGAATCAGTTATTTCAATGAGTTTCACATAATTTAGCCATTTCAACACACTACAAGCATACAAGTAATTCATTACCAACTTATACCACCATAAATTGATTACTTATCACAAGAGTCTTTTAAAAAAAAAAAGCTTTCATTTACCAAAGAAATGTTCATATGACTTGAAACAATCCCTACATCTATAAGTCTTGCACAACTAGAGGAACTTCACTAGCACTTAGGAAGGAATCAACTTGGAGTTTGTTTTAGAGATAGGAAGGTCACATAATTTCTTCTAGACTTGATCGAATAGATAGGGATATTTCTCTTTCATTTCTTTCTCCGCTTCCCACGTAGCTTCCTCGACTTGTTGACTTCGCCACAACACCTTAACCGAGGCAACTTCCTTATTTCTCAACCTACGGACTTGTCTATCAAGAATGGCAACTGGAACCTCTTCATACGACAGCTCTTCATTAACCTTGATAGTCTCGACTGGCACGATGGTGGACGGATCTCCAACTACTTTCTTTTACATGGAACACCGGATGCACTAATGACATTTCGGGAGGCAATTCCAACCTATAGGCCACCTGCCCTATCCTTTGAACGATCCGATAAGGCCCGACATACCTAGGACTCAACTTACCTCTCTTTCCGAAGCGCATGATCCCCTTCATAGGGGATACCCTCAAGAACACCCAATCGCCAACTTGAAATTCCAACTCCCTCCGACGAACGTCCGCATAAGACTTTTGGCGACTCTGAGCAGTCTTCATCCTTTCCTGAATGATTTTAACATTCTCCATAGCCTGGTGCACAAGATCTGGCCCTATCAGTTCTGCTTCACCCAGTTCGAACCACCCAATCGGAGACCTACACCTTCTTCCATACAATGCTTCAAATGGGGCCATCTGGATGCTGGCATGAAAGCTGTTATTGTAAGCAAATTCTATAAGCGGCAAGTGATCATCCCAGTTACCTTTGAAGTCCAAGACACAAGCTCGCAACATATCTTCAAGCGTTTGAATAGTCCGCTCAGCCTGACCGTCAGTCTGTGGATGGAAAGCTGTGCTGCGATTCACTTGAGTACCCAAACCTTGCTGAAATTTCTTCCAAAAATTAGCTGTGAACTGGGTCTCTCGATCTGAGATAATAGAAAGTGGAGTGCCATGAAGCCTTACTATCTCCTTGATATACAGCTTGGCATATTGTTCAGCAGTATCAGTGGACTTGACCGGCAAGAAGTGAGCTGATTTGGTGAGTCGATCCACTATTACCCAAATTGAGTCGAATTTGTGCTGAGTGCGAGGTAACCCCACCACGAAATCCATGTTAATCATCTCCCATTTCCACGTCGGTATTTACATAAGCTGAGTTAGCCCGCCGGGCCGCTGATGCTCGGCCTTCACTTGCTGACAATTTGGACACTTAGATACAAAGTCCGCCACACCCCTCTTCATGCCGTTCCACCAATAAACCTCCTTGAGATCATGATACATTTTCGTAGAACCTGGATGCATGGAATACCTGGAATTATGAGCCTCTGCCATCACCCTCTCCAGAAGCCTATCCACATCCGGAACACATAACCTACCTTGACACCGCAAAACACCATCTTCGCTGCCGAGCGAAAATGCCGAAGTCTTGTTATTCAAAACTGCTTCCTTTATCTGAGCCAATGCTGGATCACTAAACTGCTTTTCCTTGAGTTCCGCTACAAGTGACGATTCTGCTCCATTATGCACCATGATGTTCCCCTTATCTGATGCCGAGATGCCAACCCCTAAACTGGCCAATTGATAAACCTCCCGACCCAAGGGCCTTCGATCCACTCCCAAATGAGCCAAACTACCCATGGATCTTCGACTGAGAGCGTCGGCCACCACGTTCGCCTCCCTGGATGGTATAAAATGTTCATGTCATAATCCTTGAGCAGTTCTAACCACCGCCGCTGCCTTAAATTCAATTCTTTCTGCTTGAACAAGTACTGGAGGCTCTTGTGGTCTGAAAACACATCTACATGAACCCCATAAAGATAATGCCGCCATATTTTCAAAGCAAATACAACTGCTGCAAGCTCCAAATCATGCGTCGGGTAGTTCTTCTCGTGATTCTTGAGTTGTCTTGAGGCATATGCTATAACCTTCCCATGCTGCATCAATACACACCCCAAACCAACCCTGGAGGCATCACAATAAACCACAAACCCTTCCGTTCCTTCCGGCAAGGCCAATACCGGTGCCGAGGTCAACCTGTTCTTCAATTCTTTAAAACTTTTCTCACAAGCGTCGGANAATGAGTTTACACATAATTTAAGCCATTTCAACACACTACAAAGCATACAAGTAATTCATTACCAACTTATACCACCATAAATTGATTACTTATCACAAGAGTCTTTTAAAAAAAAAAGCTTTCATTTACCAAAGAAATGTTCATATGACTTGAAACAATCCCTACATCTATAAGTCTTGCACAACTAGAGGAACTTCACTAGCACTTAGGAAGGAATCAACTTGGAGTTTGTTTTAGAGATAGGAAGGTCACATAATTTCTTCTAGACTTGATCGAATAGATAGGGATATTTCTCTTTCATTTCTTTCTCCGCTTCCCACGTAGCTTCCTCGACTTGTTGACTTCGCCACAACACCTTAACCGAGGCAACTTCCTTATTTCTCAACCTACGGACTTGTCTATCAAGAATGGCAACTGGAACCTCTTCATACGACAGCTCTTCATTAACCTTGATAGTCTCGACTGGCACGATGGTGGACGGATCTCCAACCACTTTCTTCAACATGGACACAAGGCCCTTGGGTCGGGAGGTTTATCGATTGGCCAGTTTAGGGGTTGGCATCTCGGCATCAGATAAGGGGAACATCATGGTGCATAATGGAGCAGAATCGTCACTTGTAGCGGAACTCAAGGAAAAGCAGTTTAGTGATCCAGCATTGGCTCAGATAAAGGAAGCAGTTTTGAATAACAAGACTTCGGCATTTTCGCTCGGCAGCGAAGATGGTATTTTGCGGTGTCAAGGTAGGTTATGTGTTCCGGATGTGGATAGGCTTCTGGAGAGGGTGATGGCAGAGGCTCATAATTCCAGGTATTCCATGCATCCAGGTTCTACGAAAATGTATCATGATCTCAAGGAGGTTTATTGGTGGAACGGCATGAAGAGGGGTGTGGAGGACTTTGTATCTAAGTGTCCAAATTGTCAGCAAGTGAAGGCCGAGCATCAGCGGCCCGGCGGGCTAACTCAGCTTATGGAAATACCGATGTGGAAATGGGAGATGATTAACATGGATTTTGTGGTGGGGTTACCTTGCACTCTGCACAAATTCGATTCAATTTGGGTAATAGTGGATCGACTCACCAAATCAGCTCACTTCTTGCCGGTCAAGTCCACTGATACTGCTGAACAATATGCCAAGCTGTATATCAAGGAGATAGTAAGGCTTCATGGCACTCCACTTTCTATTATCTCAGATCGAGAGACCCAGTTCACAGCTAATTTTTGGAAGAAATTTCAGCAAGGTTTGGGTACTCAAGTGAATCGCAGCACAGCTTTCCATCCACAGACTGACGGTCAGGCTGAGCGGACTATTCAAACGCTTGAAGATATGTTGCGAGCTTGTGTCTTGGACTTCAAAGGTAACTGGGATGATCACTTGCCGCTTATAGAATTTGCTTACAATAACAGCTTTCATGCCAGCATCCAGATGGCCCCATTTGAAGCATTGTATGGAAGAAGGTGTAGGTCTCCGATTGGGTGGTTCGAACTGGGTGAAGCAGAACTGATAGGGCCAGATCTTGTGCACCAGGCTATGGAGAAAGTTAAAATCATTCAGGAAAGGATGAAGACTGCTCAGAGTCGCCAAAAGTCTTATGCGGACGTTCGTCGGAGGGAATTGGAATTTCAAGTTGGCGATTGGGTGTTCTTGAGGGTATCCCCTATGAAGGGGATCATGCGCTTCGGAAAGAGAGGTAAGTTGAGTCCTAGGTATGTCGGGCCTTATCGGATCGTGGTAGTATGAGTAATTAGATGATATATAAAGGGGTACGTAGAAGTCTTTTAAATTAATATAATTTTCTGAAGTACGATTACCAAAATCTACAGAAGATTTTATGTTAATGCATATTTGCTTATTCTGAGTACAATCCAAAAAGATAATCTGTCCATAGATGAGTTCAAATTAATGCACATTTGCTTACTTCCGAGTATAATCCAAAAAGATAATCTATCCATAGATAGTCAAGTTAACAAAAAGCACGTCGATTATATGTTAGTAAATATGATATAGTATGAAGAAAATACAATCTGATATATGTTGTTGCAAGCATTGTTAATACTAATTAAAATATTATACTTACTTTGCCTGGACTTCTAAGCTAAAAATAAAATTCATGTATCCGAATTACTATAAGGCATACGAAGACTTCTACGCCCTAATTTGTTTTTAATAGAATTAGCTAAACATAATTAATATTTATTATTCTTAGGAAATTATATTATTTCATCTAATTTATTAAAATTCAAGATCTTTTTTTAATAATATTTATGTGATTTAAAACTTTTTACTCATGACATAGGTACACACGCAAAACGCATACTCTAAGACTAGTTATATTAAAAGCACAAAGTTCTTTAGCAAAATATCGTTCGCCTCTTTTATCCCTTACAAACAGATTTAACATTAGACAATATCGTAATTTAATTATTCTCATAATATTTAGGATTTTAAAATCAACTAAAATTTGTTTATTAAATCTTTCCGTATTTGACAAAAACTCCAAATATTTTAAACATTTTCCAGAGAATGTCTATAGCTAAAAGAGAGAATAGAGGGGGACTCCTCGGTCTGCGGACGAGGAAGATATACCTCGAAGTCTCTGAAGATCGCCTCACCTTACTGATAATATGGCTGAGTCGAAGAACCTGGATCTGCACTCGAAAAAATATGTGCAGGAAAGGACATGAGTACACCACAACGGTACCCAGTAAGTGCCAAGCCTAACCTCGATCGAGTGTGACGAGAAAGGTCAGGGACCTACTGGTTACATATATATAAAACGAGGTAAAACATTAAGAAGTGCGACAATACAATTAAAGACAATAACAGTTGATAAAGAGTAAAATCACAGACAGAATATACTCAGTACAAAAAGATAGCAACAGGGGATCTCCCAGGATATCGTCCCGTAGTCCCAAACATAAATGTGCAGAGGATCTCCCGGTATATCGTCCCGTAGTTCGAATCATAAATATGCAGGGGAAACTCCCGGAATACCAATACGTAGTCCTAAAGTAAATATCCAGTACGGGGAATCTACCGGGTGATGTCCCGTAGTCCCAAATATAATGTGCGGGGGGATCTACCGGAATACCGATCCATAGTCGCAAAGTAAACATGCAGGGGGATCTACTGGAATACCGATCCGTAGTCCCAAAGTAAACACACAACAGTCTGAAGAAAGAATCTATAGTTGTATTCAAGTTCATACCAAGAAAAGCAGAGATTTCTATTCTAAACATGCTGCACAGAATTCAAGTAGATAGTTTAAGGAGATAGTACAGTTAAGTCACTTAAGCATGCTTTCCTAAGCTAAGCAGTAGGCTTTAAATACAAGTAATTTTCAACAAAAAGGAAGCGCAGATATTTACTTAATGAAAACGGGTTTTTTTTCTACAATTAGCACGTGTACGCACTCGTCACCTCACATACACGGTACTCATATAACAACAGAACCAAAATCCTAAGGGGAGTTTCCCCACACAAGGTTAGGCAAGCCACTTACCTCGAACCAGCTCAAAATCAACTCGAAACCACGTTCTTGCCACGAGTATCCAACTCCGAGTGGACCAAATCTAATCAAATAAATTTCATAATGTAAATATAACTAAAACCAACGAATTTAACTAAAAGAATCAAAGCTAAGATAAGAAAATAGAAAAACGCCCATAAATCCTCTTCGGGCCCACGTCTCGGAATCGGGTAAAAGTCACAAATTATGAACACTCATTCACTCATGAGTCTAACCATACCAAAATCACTCGAATCCGATGCCAAAACCTCGATCAAAATCCCAAAATTAGGCATAAGAATTTTTCTCAACTTTTCCCAATTTTTCATCCAAATCCCGAAATTAAATGATAAAACTAACAATAGATTAATGGAATACAACTAGAAAAAGATTTGGAATTGTTACCCACTGATTTCCTCTTCAAAATCCTCCCAAAATCGCCCTCTACCGTGCTCCAATTCGATTTTCCAACTTATGAAATCAAACCCTCGATTTTCTCTTTTTCTGCCCAGCGATTTCCGCTTCTGCGGCTGGGGAACCGCACCTGCGAGATTTCATTAAAAGACCAAGCTTCGCACCTACGCTCATTTACCCGCAGATGCGGTCCGCTTCTGCGGTCCTTGTGCCGCATCCGCGACCAGCTCCACTATCGCCTCAGACCACACCTGCGGTTCCCTAACCGCTTCTGCGGTGCCGCACATGCGGTCCCACACACGCAGGTGCGGTTATGACAGGTTCAGCAACCTGAGATTTTTGCCTACGTCCAATTCACTTCCGTTAAGCATGCAAAACTCACCCGAGGCCCCGGGGACCTCAAC